AGATCAGTTGTAATCTCCTTGGCCTTACAAGGCAAGCAAATGACCTGTTAGCAGCAGGGACCATCAGTCTGGAAACACAGCTCCCCTTATGAATTCAGAGAAATTCAGGTGCTACCAGCTGGACTCAGATTTCTCAAGACCAGCAATCTAGGGCCAATTCCCAGGAGAAGATCAGCGCAGCAACATGTTCTGCTCTCCCATTGGAAATGGCAAAGACTTGAAAGAAGAACCTACCGGCAGATGTAACTAAGAAGGTTATAGTTGTCCTGGGGTAAACGTGCCAGCTGCTTCACTAACTGTGGGTGACCCTAGAAGAATATAAGGGTGGCTTTTAATTGTCACATGCATCAATTGCTGCCATGAAATTCCACCAAAAATTTCCAATTTGCCTGCTTCTCTTGGAGGGATACACGTTGGTTTATACCAGAAGAAGAGGCAAGAAACATTGCACCGAGTACTGGATGGGTTTAGAAAGAGAGCCAGTTGGGTGCAGCAGGGAAGGCCCCGGGCTAGAAACTGGGAGACAGTAAGTTCTCGTCCCCCCTTAGGCACGAAGCCGGCTGGGTGGCCTTGGGCCAGTCACTTTCTCTGAGCCCTAGGAAGAGGGCAATGGTAAGCCACTTTCAAAAAACCTTGCCAAAAAAACTGCAGGGACTTGTCCAGGCAGTCACCAGGAGTCAAAGCCTGACTTGAAGGCAAAAACAAAAACCCTGTATGGATTGGGGGAGGCAAGGAAGGCAGAAGAGCTTGGTACCCCTGCCCTGAATTTCCACAGTTCTTGATCCCTTTGCCAGATCTAGCCTTCCACTTTGAAATATATCTTCAAGCTTTCCAAAACACCTTGCAAATCAAGGATGGAAGGAGAAAAAGAGGCAAACAATCAGGATGTTGCTGGAAAGTAGACATCGATAAAATAGTAAAATGCCTAATTTATTTAAGTTGCCGGAGTTCAACTTGTGGCCAAGCAGGGGGGCGGGGGGGGAGATGCACTTTTGGCCTCCCTCTTAGACCCCATGGTGGGTGATCTCATGATGTTAAGAGTGGGAGGAACCATTTCAGTAGGCCTTTTAGTAGGATTTTGAGAGGTACATTTGATCTTATACCTTGTCTTCATCAGATGTCAGAAGTTGGCCACACAAGAGGAAATCCTCATATTGGGTCCAAGGAATGACTGGTTGAGGAAGTTCCCGTAGGTAAAGTTTAAACAAAGAAGCCACAGTATGTACATCTGTATCTCTGTAAAAAAAACAATACGATGGGTTAGGCATCACAGGAAGTCATCATTCCACTTTAATCTACTTTTGACAGACCTCACTTCCAGTATGTAGAACAGTGGAATGGTCTACCAACAGAGGTGGTGGGATCTCCCATAATCAAAGTAGAAGAATAAATCCTATAAAGTGCGAGGAAGGATCTTTTAATAGTAAGTAAACAATGCCCCTGTTTCCCAAGACTCTTTCAAACCCTGCTTTCAAACAGTTAAAAACATCCCTTGCCAACCAAAATATGAGGTTTTTTTTTTAAAAAAAGGGCAGCTTCTCATCACAGAAAGGTTCTTTGCAGAAACTCTATGGACTGCAACTGCCATAAGTCCCTATCACCCATACTAGTTGGGGATTGTAGGATTTTAAAACCCACCTCAATCTGAAGGCTACTTGGCTAAAGAGAACTTCCAACCCGGCCTTTCTCACCAGGGCTCCCTCCAAAGAAATGGATTTCAACTCCCAGGAGTCTCAGTCATGGTCCCTGGGGAATTCTGGGAATTGAAGTCCACACATCTGGAGGCTCCCTAGCTGTGGACGACTGCACCAGTCTTATTACTGCAGACTTGAGAAATGGGCCACCTACTGGTCAAAGGAGGGCCTCTCGCCAGCATCAAATGCATCCCGCAGTTTCTTCACCAGATTGTCTTGGCCAGGAAGTCGGAAGATGCCCTCTTCATTCAGCCCATTCTTCCTGATGAATTCTGCACACTTCTCCACCAATATAGGGACCTGATGCTGCCCAAATCTCTGTTCATACACCATGGTGTCCTCCAGCTGTTGTCCAAAGACCACTGGAAGGGAGGGAGGGAGGGAGGGAGGGAAGGAAGGACCCAAGAGTTTTGAAATGCTTCTTCAGTGCTGCAGAGGAAATCCTTATATGAAATCCTGTTTGTTAAAAATTACAAGCATACTAATGGTGACATAATAAAAGTAGTTAAAAATCATCAAATTTTGGAACCACCTAGTCCAACTCTGTGCAGGAAAACCAATTGAACCATCCATGAGAGGGGGCTGTCTAGACTCTCCTTAAAGCCTCCAGAGATGGAGAACTCACTACCTCCACAGGTCAGCTGTTGCACAGTTGAACACAGTTAAATAACTCTTATCTATAAAGTCTACAAGGGGGTCAACAGAGTGTCTTCACAACAGCCTTATAATGTAGATTACAGACCGGCACCACTGACTGTGGGGTTTCCCAACCTTGGCCACTTTAAGATGCGTGGACTTCAACTCTCAGAATTCCCCAGGTGGAGTGTGCTGTGCTACCGGGCACTTGTTCATGGAAGTCCAGTATTTGACCATTCCAGAAACAGAGGACAGATGGAGGCAGCTGAGCCCTCTAAAAGAAGAGCCCACATAGTCTATTAGGGCAGGAAGGAAGACTAAGCCCAGGAGGGTTTGGACGTTGTCTCTCTCTTGAATACGTCACTGTCATCCACCAAATGGTTTCTTGCTAATTAGAGGAGGGATCACCTGGTGCCCTCCTTTCCATCTCTATTCTGCTGTCATTACCTAAATAAAAGGGATGAAGCCAGAACAACC